CTCCCGCTGGCTGTTTTGTCTTCCTGGCCACTGTCTAGACTCTATCTACTTGTGAGATGCCGGATACAATGCTCCATGCAGCTGCTCCTGCACAAAGGGCGTCACACACGTGCCACCCCAAAAGTCCACCCTCAGGGTGGATCCACAGCAGGTGACCGGCACACGGTCAACGGATGGCTGTAAACACGAACTTCTCATCCTGGGGCTGCTAATGCCTCTTGGTCCTTCAGCACGTCAGCCCTACCCGCCTCTCTGCTGTTGTCAGCCACATGTGTTTGCAGAATAATAGATATCTATTTGTATCTGTTCTGTGAATTATCATGTGAATTATCAGTATGTTTCACTTACTGTATGTGTGCTCACTGGAGAAAGACAGAGAGGGAAAGTGAGAAAGCCCTGTCCCCAGGGGTGACAGCCATGCCACAGTCCCTTCTCCTCCACTCTCCTCCTGGGATGTTGGATGCATATGCACATGTGCCCAGCATGTTTCAAGTTACACGGTCCAAGACTCTAACCACCCAGTCATCCATATGAGATCCAGCCACTTTAACCACCACACCACCTGCTTGGCTCATTTGTGTGTTAGTATTATTTCACCAAAATAGGTTCTGAGCTTTGGAGAGCAGAGACTGAGCTTTTATTTATTTTTCCCCCTCTATTTCCCCATCTTTGTCCTCAAATTTTATACAATCCACAACGTGTGACAGGTTGCCTGGAGCCATACTGGCCAGAGGTTCTAGTGATATGCCTAAAGCAAGAAGTAAGATCTCTCTGGAGGTAGACTCTGTCCTTTCTTACATGTAAAGCAGTTTTCCCAAACCCTGACTGGTGGCCACATGAGCTGGGGAGTTTTAGTATTTCCACAGTACTGTGCCCAGTGCCCCTGGGGCCCTGAGATCAAGATCCCTTGCCCAGGGCTGGCGATTCTTATGCAGCCAGTCTAGAATGCTGGGAACCAGCAGCTTTAGAGCAGAGTTATTACTGAACAGATCCTCTGTGTGCTTGACTGACATGGAATGTCCTGGAAAAGTCTTTATTTTTATGAAGTAAACGGACACAAGGAGAATACCTCAAACTAGGCTTATGAGCAGCTCTGTGCATTTGGAAATAAATTCCACATGGCCAATTGTAGTTCAAATCCCAGCCTTGGTGGCTTGAAAATAGTGCAGGCATAAGTGCATCATGTGCCCCGAATCCCGAAGGGAGGGAGAAGAGGAGGAAAAGGGTTGTAGCATGACCACACCCCATTCCCCGCTGGAGAGACTGCTTTCTTCCTCTCTCTTTCCATGGTGAGCATGGAAAATTAAAAAACAAACAAACAACAACAACAAAAAAAGTCTTAGAGCTGAGATTCAGATGGCTGATGGCCACAGGACCTGATAGGGGACCCCAGAGAGAAAGTCAAATGGGACGAGATGAACCAGACCAGGAAACAGAGGAAAGTGAGGTGGAAGGGACATTTCCTGACTGGGAGCCCCTCAGGGCTCTCGGGTTCTGGGGGAAAACAAAATGAATCTTGCAGTGGAGGAGAAGTCTTCTAGAAAGGATGGGAGCGAACAATGGCAAATACGAGGAGAAAGCTGTGGCAAATGGAATTAAAGTACAAGATTATTTTGGTGGAAAAAATTGAAATTCATGCATAATTCTCCTACAATATGCATTTCCATGATCTGTGTGAAGACCCATAGAGAATGCTTCAGAGGGGCTGGCCTTGGGGCAGTGTCGAGCTAAAAACGAAATCCCTTCCTATGCTTCCCTAGACCCAGCCCTTGGCCTGACGGGTGTCTCAGGACAGTCTCCAGGGCTCTTCCAGGAAGTCGGCTGGTGGTTCGCAACACTGGCATCCGTGGCCAGTGGGCCTAATTCCTACCCATGTCTTCTCCATCTTGTCAATGAGTGTGCTGGGTTAGGCTCAAGCCTAAAACTCAGAGCCACCCTCCACGTCTCCCTGTGGCTCTATCTTCAGAAAAAATCCTGAATTTGGCCACTCCCCCCACCTCTCTCACACAGTTCTAGCCACCAGCAGCCTCATCTGGATTTCAGCAGTAACCTCTTTTCTGCCCACCCGACCTGGGCCTGGTGCCTATGGCTGTCTGCACCTCGGTAGCAGGAGGGTCCTGCTATGACAAGTCACATTGAATCTCCACCCTTCTCCTTGGAGGAAAGTCCTCCCAAAGGCCTGGCAGACCCACTGTCCCCTCCCTCCTGCATGCGCTCCTAGGACACCAGCCTCTGCACTTTTCCTCCGACTTCTCACGCCCGCCCTCATGGTCCTCGCCATGTCTGCAGGCCTCTTCCGCAGAAGGGGCGCACTCAGCACACAGCTCCTGCAGGCCTCTTCCTGAATGCAATCTCACTGGAGCATTCAACATGACCACGCCACAATCCCCTATCCTTTTCCATCACTGCCAACCACCACATGACAGATGGGCAGTTCTTAAGTCTATGGAAAAGGGGAATTAAAATATGAGTTTATTTTGTTGCAAAAAGAATTGAAATGCACACATGACTTTTTTATAATACCCTTTTTCCCTGTACCTATTGAAGATTCCTCTGCATTTATTTCTCTGTTGTCAGTTTTGTTCACTAGAATGAAGGGTCCATGGGAGCAAAAATTCTTGTTTCATTACTTTAGGTCCTTAGTGCTAAGAATAGGGCCTAGGTCAAAGTAAGGGATCAGCAAATATTTTTGTTGAATGAATGAATAATGCTATAAAAGTGACATTTGTGTGGAGGGGAAAGCGAGGGTCCATGAAGTTGCACAGACCTGTGTGTGTGCATGTGTGCATGAAGTGGGAGCAGGGCTGGGTGGAGTGGAGCTCTCACGCTGCACTCCAGTGGACATAGCTCGCCAAGTCATGAGGGGCGGGTAGCTGCAGTCTTCATGTGGCTCCTATTCCTATGGCTCCTCTAAATCCACAGGTAGGGAGTTCCTGAGATTCTGGAATATTCCATCACCAAGCATATGTCCAACTGATATACATGAATCTGCCCTCCAGAAAACAAGACTGCAATGGCTTCGAGAGCCTTGATAGGATTTCTAGAAGTGCACTATTCTTCCCTTGGGGAAGAACCCCTTCCTGGGGCTCACAACCCATGGTCTCAGGTTTGAGGGTATGTGCCAGCCTCTGCTTAAGAGACAGACTGCAGGGAACCGGCAGTTAGCGTAATGGCTATGTTGCTGGACTCCCACGTAGTCGACCGCAGTTCGCGTCCCGGACCCGGTGGCTTAAAACTCACGCTGGGTGCGTGTGCGTGTGTGCCCAAGATCCCGAGAAGAGAACGGAGGAGAAGGGATTGTGGCATGACCATCCCCCCTAGGGGGTGATTTCTCGCTTTCTGTCTCCATGTCTCTCTCTGTCTGTCTGGAGAGCGCACATGCCCTATAGTGAAAATCTCTCCCCCCCCTCAAAAAAAAAGAGAGAGACAGACTGCAGTGAGGCACACCAGTTCCAATGTTCCCTCCACGAAAACAACATGGGCTGAGGAGATGTCATGCTTCAGACCGGTCATGTGGTGTAGACCAGTGATGTGGTGTAGACGGGGTCAAGGTAAATGGAGGCCATGGCTGCTCATGCCCTGCTCCTTGGCCTGCTGTTGTTTCCCACTCAAGAGGGCAAAGGTGGAGCTGTGCCCCATGGCTGGCCAGCCACTGTACGTTCTGTTCCTTCAGAGAGGCCGGAAGGGCACAGCTGTGCTGAGACTGGCCCACAAAGGATATCCAGCTCTCCAGAGGCAGCCCCTTCCTAGTGCACAGATGGATGGAGCTCTTGTACCCCATCTCCAGAAGCCTGAGACAAAGGGAGAGCGTGGCAAAGAGCACTGATGGCGTCTGAGGAGAGCCAGCATTCCTTAGTGGAG